GTAGCCCACATAGCTGTTTTTGGCACTGCCCTCTTGGTGGCTGCATGCCAGTCTGCAAGCTCTGCGTAGGACCAACACACAACCATACCAGTCCCTTTAGAATAAGAACATTTAACAGTTGTAGTGTTGTATAATCCAAACCTTGTTCCATTGTTTTAACCGTGCAGCTACAGCATGCGTCTGTCTTCCCTGAGTGACGTCGTCTTATGTTTGATTTATTGCTCCTGACTGCAGACCTGGATCGGCAGCTGAGTGAGGCTGAAGCAATGACAGGATCTCTGAGATCGGAGAGTCAGTTTGTCAGTCAGAAACCTCTCGCTGACAGCTCCTGTCTGAGGTGAGTGCTGGATAACTGTCTGGATGCCGAGGCAGGTTTATGCATTTGGACACATAGATGGAGTCGACAGCACCAGATTTACTTGCAGTTACATCATGTCACAGAATAATCTTTGGGAGGTCCAACACAGTAAATATTACAGATAAGTAAGACTCAAAAGAGCAGAATTACATAAAAACACAGCATTAGGCTACTCAGCATTTCATTAACAATATTTCCACAGAGATTCCTGGTGTTTTAAACATTTTGCTGAGCAGCTGTGATTTTTAATTAGTTGAGAATTTTGTTTTGTGAATGCTGTCGAAGGACTCAGTGTTTAGAAGCACAACTGCTGTCCCCTCTCTGCAGGACCCTGTGGTTTTCTTTAGTGTAACTGCACAAAATTCCATCTCAGTAGTGGTATTATCAGCTTTGGTCATTTCTACAACGGTAAATGCACTTAAGAAAAAGACAGACGAAAGAAATGCTGCAGAGCCAAGCTTTTAAATTAAACTGTTTACAAATGGGAGATCTGGATCATACCGAGAAGGGCTGAATAGACCAGTAAACCCAGTTCTTGTCTTGCCTTTTTCTCCTTCTTGATCCTGCTGGGTAGAGTCCAAACATAGAAGTGTAAATAACAGCACATTAAGGCCATTTGGTTTAATTAAGGCTTTGATCTGGAGTGTATTTCATTTTGTCAGCAACTGGAGAAAAACAACCAACTGAGGCTGTGATTGATATATTTATTAATGATGACAGTGTAAAGCTTAGCATTCAAGCTAAGTGTTTAATCAGCTTTGGTTTTAGTGGAATAATACATCATGCTTTAACCACAGACTGTATATAAATGATGGACATAGTAATGCATCATGTTCATTTAGTAAATTGCTGCATTTACAGTAAAATAGATGTTAAATCGGGGTATGATGGATACTTTGAAATCTAGAAGTAGGAGCGTGCAGTTTCCCATCAAAGTGCTTATTTAAGTCCTTAGCTCGAGGCGCCAAAATGGAGTCTACGCACCAAAGGATGATCTCGTGTCTGCTGTCTGTGGCTTTAACTGGAATAATCTATAAAGGAATTCACTCATACACGTCACATGTAGAAAACCACGTTACACAGAAGTCTGTTTTTTTTAGGTCACTTCAATAGTTTGGATTTCTCCAACAGTAGTTCTTTGACTTTCAAAGCAAATGAAAAGTATTGAATCTGTTACCATTAAGGCTCCTCAAAGGAAACTTTAGGGAGACTTTGTCAGATACAGTTACTTTATCATTCTTTTATCTTCTAGTGGGTGTGAGCTTTATTGTCATGACTCGTGCTGTGGCAGGCAGAATGTAGGACCCAGATGCAGGACTTGAAACGAAAGGTTTAACTGAAGGAGGCAGCTTTAATGGCTGTGCAAAACTCAATACAAGAAAACATAAATAAAACTAGAAATAGAAACTTTGGAATTAGAAACTCAAACTAGAAACTCAGAGGAAACATTTAGTGATAAGGACCAAAAAGGCACAGCAAGACACACAGCGGCATGAGGTAATGACAACACATGGGCTGTATCCCAATTCAGGGTCTGCAGCCTTAAAGTACGCAGCCTCAGCGATCCTCAAGGGCCGCGTACTTAAAGACCGCTAAGGCCGGAAGTGCGAAGCTTGTGAAATGGGACGGTCTAGCCTCCACTGCGCTGTCCAGGTTGCCTAGCAACCATTATACTAACAGCTGGAAACGTTTCATACAGCTTTGTTTGACAGAAATGAAGGAGAAAATCTTTTGTTCATTTGTTTGTTTGTTTCTACATGA